TCCAGGTTGTTCCTCATACCCCAAGGACAAACAATATAATAAAGGGATCTTCCCAGCTTTGCAGATATAAGCAAATTTTGGCCACCCACCACCTCTGGTATGTCACTGAAGAAGGAGGCACTTCCTAGAAGTCCTGGGAAATTTCAGGGAACTGCTGCTGTGCAGCTAGGAGTCAGAGCCATTATCACAGAGGACACCCTGCCTTCTGTTGTACAGGCCTTTCTGTGCCTCCTCTGCTCTTGCAGGACCTACTGACCTCTTGTGGGCATAGCATAAATGTCCTATGATGGACAGCCCTACAGGGCTGGAACTCAGCCCACTACCCTTTTCCACTGGAAGCCAACTATCCCTAGTCAGTTTGACCTGGCTATGACAATGTTGGAGTGGGTCTCTTGACTTCACAGCACCTCAATTTCCTCACCTATGAAATAGGGATAAACAAAGACCTCAACCTTATTTTAAAACATAGAAGTCTGAGAACACAGCTCAGCTGGTAGAGTGCCTATCTAGCATGCATGAAGGCCTGAGTTCGATCCCCGGTACTAAATACATGGGATATGGTGGTGTATATCTATAGTTCTAGCATTCAGGAGGTGGAGGCAGGACAATCAGGAGTTCAAAGTCATCCATGGCAATATAGTGAGTTTGAATCCAGGCTGGGATACATGAAACCCTGCATCAAAAAAAGAAAAAGAGGTGCTGGAGAGATGGCTCAGCAGTTGAGAGTACTACCTTCTCTTTTAGAGGACCCAGGTTCAGTTCCCAACACCCACATGATGGCTAACAACCACTCATAGTTCCAGGGTATCTGATACACTCTTCTGGCCTCTAGGGGCATTACACACACGGTGCACTTACATACATGCAGGCAAAACACTCATACACATAAAATAAAATTTTTTTAATAAAAGGAGGGGCTGGAGAAATAGCTCAGTGGTTAAGAGCACTGGCTGCTCTTGCAGAGGACCTAGGTTTGGTTACCAGTACCCACCTAGCAGCTAACAACTGTCTGTAACTCCAGTTCCAGGGATCCCATGCCTTCTTCTGGACTCTGTGGGTACTGAACGACATGAGAGCATGAGAGCATTTACATACTTACATGCAGGCAGTACACTCATACACATACAATTAAAATAATAAATAAAATATTTAAAAATTTAAAAAATGAAAGGAAACAACAACAAAAAAGAAAGGAAATGACAGAAGAATTTTTTTTTGTCTTTTTGAGACATGGTCTTCCTACAGCCCAGCTGGCCTGGAATTTGCTATGTAGACCAGGCTGGCCTTGAACTCACAGAGATCTGTCTGCCTCTGCTTCCCCAGTGCTGGGATTAAAGGTGTATACCACCACACCCAGCAAGAAAAAGCGTTGACAGGAGGAAATTTATGGATAAATTCAAGATACCAAGACCCTAGTTGGGCATTCTCAAAATTCTTAGTATCTAAGCATTTTTAGAGATTATGTACCAGTGCTAACCAATCTTTTTTCAGGTCACAACACACCCAGAAAATATTTATCTAGCAAAACTGGATTAAAGAGAAAAGTCCAAGAGCTAGGTGATCTTTTCTCCTCCCCCCCCTCCTCCAATCCTATGTTGCTAAATTCCCCTCAATTTTTTTATATAACCATACATCTCAAGATCTTTTATTTCCAGTTTACATTTAAAAAATACATTTACTATTTTTCAAGCAAGAAGCAAAAGGTAACAACTTAGAAAAAAATTGTTGCCCAGCAGTTCTACTGGTTTCAAAGTTAATTAGATCCTTGTTCATGGATCACAGAATGATCTAAAGTTGTTTATATCTTTTAAGATATCTTTATTCTAAGGCATCTTGTATTTTCCAGTTTCACCAACAGATGACACTAGTGATTTCTATAATGGATTGATAATTTTGGGAATATTATTTATGGAAAATCTTAGACCCTGTAGTTTTGAGATTAAAAGAACAACCACCCCCAAAAACCCTAAAAACTCAGAATTGTTAACATTTTTAGATTATGGCTTATTTTTAGTCCATTCATGCAAACTGCAAAAATATCAAGGATAGTATTATGGTAGATGACTAACATTTCAATTCTTTCTACAAATGTACAATTCTAACACTAATTCTCAAATAAAATATCTGAAAGATATTCATGAAAGCGATACATAGATATTTCTTTTATCTTTT